TATATATATATATAAATAGATATATATATATATATATATATATACATATATATATATATAAATAGATATATGTATATATATTCATATATATATTGTATATACATTATATATATTGTATATATATAATATATATTGTATATATATATGTAAATATATATAATATGTATACATATATATACATACATATAAATATATATAAATATATGACAGCCGCCAATGGCCAGTGTTTCTGGCTGTGAGTATTTTTAAGGGTGGTTTTTGTTTTAATATTAAATTTAAACAAATTATTTTTAGCTGTTTTCTGAGAAATTACAATATACTGAAGAAGAGGGGTGGGCAGCCGAAACCCATAGAGAGAGACTCGAGACATGCATATATATATACATATAATATATATTTGTTTTTGTATATAATGTAGGTTTAAATATATAAATATAAATAAATAAATATATATATAGAAATAAATATATATATAAGTATACATACACATTTTTTATATTCAATATATATATAAATATCTGAGTATATACACCCGGAGGAGGGATCTCCCTGTAGAGTAATGATTGCATGCGTTATGTGGGTTATAATAACATTTTTGACAAATGTTTGTGGATAATAAAAAATAAATTTATTAATATAATAAATATTAAAGAAATTACTTTGAATCTGCTGCTGTGCTGTGCTCGCTAGCTGGAGATGCCTCCGCCTTTGAGGGCCTTTGATAGCAGTTGGTAGTCTAAGGGCACTCTCTTCTTTGTTGCACGAATTGCAAATATATTTTATAATATCTTTATATCTTTTTTTTTGCTTTTTCTGCTGCTGCATGCGCTTAGAGTTATGCTGGGTAGTAGAAGACTGTATGAGATGAGTTGTCTTGCTGCTGCTACCCGCAGCAGCAGCAGCAGCAGCAGCAGCAAAAATGTTATTCAGGTTATTGTCTATTAAATTATATTGGCTTCTCTGTTTTAACCTCCTTATTCTCATTCTTACAGATGCTGCAGAAGTACCCGGATCCTCTCTCACTGCTGCTGCAGACAGCAGCAGCAGCAGCAGCAACAACAACAACAGCAGCAGCAGCAACAGCAGCAACACTCTTGAAGGCACGACCAGCGGGATCACAACCAACGACAACAACAACAACAACAACAACAGCAGCAGCAGCAGTAGCGACATCATAAGCAACAGCAGCAACAGCAGCAGCAGCAGCACAAGAGTCTTGACAGAAGAAGAGCGTATAGCAAAGATAATAGAAGAAGACACTCCTGTATTGAATTGGGTGGTGAAGGATGGCTGGACATTGCCCGAAAATAATATTTATCGCAATTATCTTTGTCGTTTCGGAGCCCTTGATATGCCTTGCTGGGACTCATTAGGATTGACCCCTAGAGAAGAATATAAAAACTATCCTATACCTATATACTGTCCTCCCGGTAGTTGCTGCGGCGATGTTCTAGGAGACCTTCGCTGTAGATCTTCTTGTACAACAGGCGGCTGGAGTGTTATGAACTCTTCACATTGTGCATGCAAGCATCAAGAGCATAAGTGCCCTTCTAATACAGTTTGTGTAGAGGCCGATACAAGCAGCTACGGCGGAGTGTACTGCCGCTGCAGAGATGGGTATGTAGGTGACGGTGTAATATGTTATAAAGATCCTTGTTCAAATACAGAAACAAATAAATGCTCTCCAGGTACATGCAAAGGTAGGCCTGATGGTACAGCTTATTGTATATGCCCTAAAGGATATACGTGGGATGACACAGACCCCTTAAGCCCTGCATGCGTTTTAAAAAGTCTGTGTGATGATCAGCCTTGTGGATCTGCTGATGCTGTATTACAATGCCGTACAGACAGTCCATCAGAGTATTCTTGTATATGCCGCCCTGGCTATACACTCGAAACTGTCAAGGGCAAGAAAACATGCGTTTCTTCTTCATCTATTACTGTTTGTAAAGACGAACCCTGCGGATCAGAGGGTCTTCTCAGCTGTACAGACACCCCAACTGGAGCCGAATGCCAGTGCAAACAGTTCTTTCGATTAGTATCTAAACAAAGACGACAAATGTGTATATACTCCCCATGTGAAGATGCAGCTTGCGGGGACTCTGCTGCTGTTAAAAGCTGTTCAGCAGGAATATCAACATATTCTTGTGTATGCAATTCTAACTATAAACTGGACACTGTAGACGGCCTGCCGAAGTGTATTGCTATAACTCAAGATTTAACTCTCTTTATCATTGCAGCTGCCCTTATCGGCGTTCTTCTCATCGTATCTGTTATCAGCTGTATCATATTAAGAAGAAGAATGCTTAGAAGAAATGCACTAGCTGCTTACGCAGAAGACTGCCTCGAAGCCTCTATGGGGGCCCATCAAGACGGCCTCACAGTCAGCGCCAGCGCCTGGATGTAGCGGCTGCAGCTGCTGCTGCATCGGATGCTGCTGCAGCTGATGCTGCTGCATCGGACGCTGCTGCATCTGGTGCTGCTGCATCTGATGCTGCTGCTGCATCTGTTGCAGCATCAGCTGCAGCAGCATCTGATGCTGCTGCATCTGTTGCTGCTGCTGCATCTGCAGCATGGTGCTGCATCTGCTGTAGCAGATAAAGGGTTTGTAAGGAAATACGAAGTGTACATACACCTGAACAATGTTAAGGAGGACCCATATGAAAAAGACTCAAACATACAAAGGTTTTTAATCTTTATTAATTAAAATATGTATTATTTGTACGCCTTTAATTAATTATTTATATTAAAAACATCTGCTTGAGATAATATTATTTGATTTAAAGGACAGAACAACACACAGACAGACTCTCCCCTCACCCACCCTCTTCTCTAAACCCTAAACCCTAAACCCTAAACCCTAAACCCTTTTTATTTCTTTAAATTTTATACAGCGTTGGCGGTCTTCCCTATATTTCAAAACAAGAAGAGTTAAAGACATGCAAGGGATACGCTGCTTTACATATATATAGCATATATGCAACATATATATTATATATATTATATATATTATATATATTATATATATTTATATATATAAAGATATAGCAGCTTAACGAAATAGAGAAGTTCAGAAAAGAGGAGAAAGCGAAGATCGTAAACAGCAAAAAAATAAAATAAATATACAAACATGTTATATGTATAATATATATAATAAATATGTATATATATATATATATATATAATAGATACATTTATATATATAATAGATATATACATATATATATATATATATATATATGATATAGGTAGATAGAGCATAAAGCTGTAGAATCTTAATATCTCTTTTACTTCATTTATGTTGAAAACCCTCTAATTAATTAATAAATTATAATTATGTCTGTCTAAATGGGTTTACAAGTATATAATGAAGAATGAAGACTTAAACAAGTTAATAGATTAAAAGTTAACGCATTAAAGAGAGCTGCTGTAATTAGAAGAGAGATTTACTAGAAAAACATTAATTAAAGCAAAAGGGTGCTACAGTATCATCATTAGTTACTATTATTATTTTTAATATTATAATACTTCATTGTTCTAAATAATATTTTTTATTTATATTTACTTATATTTATTTACTTGCTTGCAGAGTTCGCCGTCTTGCAGCAGCAGCAGCAGCACCAGATATATATATATATATATAATGTATATATTTTAAGTGTATGCATATATATATAATATATATATATAATATATATATTTTCTGTTTAATAATGTCCAACAGTAAAGGCGTTTAGTGCTAATAAAAGCAGCTAGTTGCTGCTTAATAATAAATAAATTATATTAATAATAATTAATAATATGTTATATACATTAATAAATTATATATAATAATAATATAATACAGCCAAACTGTATATACTCAATTAGAGACGGCTGAAGATAATAATGCATGCAGCAAATTATTGTATATATTTTTAATGTTTTACTTCTTTACTTTTGTTGTTGTTAACTAACATGAAGAACATATATATATATATATATAGTCTTTAGTAGAATATATATATATATATATATGTAATATATATATATATATATATTCTGCTGAAGAAC